ATGCGATCGCCATAATCGAATGATTACTAACACTACCCTCCACCATCTTTCACCTTTCTGTTTTTTATGCATTTTTGCCAATATGCAAATTGCAAAAACGCATATTGCGACGACCCTGTCTGCGTGTGTATGTTTGTGTGTGTGCGTTTTCGTCTGTCCGGGTATTTCAACTCGGAAACCAAGCAAGTTCCAGCGCCGAGATTTTGCTAATGGTGCTCCAAACAAGTGTCACTCCAGAACCGCGGTACCAACCTTCATGCACGTCTGGGCCCCGCGTACGAGAGGGTGAAAGTTTTGGCGGGAAAATTGACAACTCGGGAACGAGAAACGATAGAAGGCTAAAACTTTGGGAATATGTGCCCATACCATGCGCGACTCTCCCGTTTTAATATCATCCCGTGCGGACGCCTGGGCGCTGTGTACAGACCCTTTAAAAAAATATGCAAATTTTTTGGCGGAAAAGCGATCTCGAAAACCATACGAGCTAAGGGGCTGAAGCCGGATGTAAAGATATACCCTGTGCTTGTACTGGCTGAAGGTTCCAAATTCAGCTTCCAGCTGTGCATTGTACTCACGTAAGGGCGTTTGAAATTTTCTCCTGTAAAATTACTAACTCGGGGACCAGAAAAGCTAGGAAGCTGAAATTTTAGGGGGATATTTCCTGTCCAAGTACAACTTAAGTATTTCAAATTCATCCTTGAGGTATGCGTGGTTCTTACATATGGGCACTTAAAATTTTGGCTGAATTTCTGACTGAACAACTAGGTTACTTATAAAAACGATCGTTAAATGGAAATTGTACATTTATTTTATGCAAAATTTACAATGATTTATGCTATTGACCGCAAAAGTTCCCCGATTAAGTGCCACCTCCAGGACCGCGGGACCAACCGTCACGCAGGTCTGGGCGCCGCGTACGAGGGATGAAAGTTTTGGCGGGGAAATCGCTAACTCGGGAATCAGAAAGCTAGAAAGCTGAGATTTTGAGGTTATGTCCCCCGTCTACACAGAACTCAAAAATTTCAAATTCAGCCCCCAGGTGTGCGTGATATCCGCGTATGGCCCCGCGAAGATCTCTGGCGCGAAAATCCCTGACTTGGAAACCAGGAAAGTTGAGAGGCTGAAATTTTCAGGAAATTTTGCCAGCAAATGTACAACTTGAAATCATCGAACTCAAGCCCCAGGCATGCGTGGTTTTAACGTATGGCTCCGCAAAATTTTTCAGGGGAAAATGGCTAA